AAGAAGGAGAGCAATATCTGGTTTGACTCGCATTTTATGGAGACCCTATAGTGCTCCCCCAAACAACGCATGTGTTTATATATATAAAAATACACATACACAGAGAGAAATAACTACCTAAAGAGGTATTTGCAGCTGAAGGGCTGGGGGAAGGCTCTCCACCTTGAGAGCACGTCCCCAGCTGGCAGCGAGAGCGGGGCTCAGAGGGCTGCCAGGATCTTGCCCTTTCCCCAGCACACGGAGCTGTGCACCGAGTGCGGCTGGGTCTCAGCCAGGCAGCCCGGGAGGAGGCGGGTGCCGTGCCCTGGGAAAGGGGGCAAATTCAGCAAACTTCTGACGCATCTTGGAGACATTTACTTACTTTTCCCGACATTTGCTTTCCACCAAACCAAGAAGAATTTATAAAATATTTTAGTCCTATCTGCATTCATGCCCCAAAACCAACTTCATCCAACTTTATACTTTCAGCTCCAAGCCAGTTGTCATCACCAATAGCGTCAGGCTGAAATCACTGGAGAAAATCCCACTGGCTTCAGTGAAACCCAGATTTACCCACTGATTCCAAAAGCCAAAAAACCCAACCAAGATTCCCGGCTGGGACATGCCTGTGTGTCAGGACATACTCAGATACTTTCAGAAATGGCGATTCGTGCTGGTCTCCTGCGTGCTGACAGCATATGCAAGGAGCCGACCCTCTGCAAGCTCCTGTGTTGAACATACAGAGGATAATATACACCTCTGTGCTGCCTTTTTGCCCAAGCTATTGAGTTTTAGATGTTTTGCCTTCAGCAGTCCCAGGTCTGGCCCCTTTTTCTCTCCTCCAGGGTCCCCAAGAGCGGCCGCCGATGCTCTGCGCGTGCCGATGCTCCGTCCCCTGCAGCTCCCTGCTGAGGGACGCAGCGGGTGCTGCAAGTCTGCACGGGCTTGAAGAACCACTGGAACAAGACCATGTGAAACAAATCCTTCGGGGGATATTAAATTCAAGGACAGCCTTGTCAGCTCAGGAAGTCCTTGAGATACTAATTGCTGGAAGCTGGGAAAGTAGACTGGGAAAGTATCACAGGGTGCTTGCCTTGTTCTGGCGCTTTTATCTAAGCATCTCCTGTTGTCTCTCTCAGAGACTGAATCTGGGGCTCGCTGGACTTTGGTCTGAGCCACCACAGCCACTCCTATGACCCTACACTGCACAAATTTTCTTTAGTATTCTGCCAAAGTTTTCTCCTCTTTTTTTTTTTTTTCATAGTAACAATGAGTTTGGTTTTTTTCTGACTGCTGATGCCGTTTTGGGAATTCTCTCTCCCTCAAGCATAATAATCTGCATTAGTTATGCAATATACTTGTTAACATACTTTTTGGCAAGCTTTCCTTTCAAGCAAATTCATATCAGACTTGTCCAGGACATTCAATGATTTTTCTTTTCTTAGACAACAAAAACACTCAAGCCTCCTTTCTGGTTAGCTTCTTGATAGACTGGCCTTGACAGTTAAACTGGACTGACACAAAGCTTAGCTTGCATGAAGCAATGCTGTCCTGGTTTAATTAATCTATTTTCTTTCCTCCAGTCAGTAAACAACTAGTTTACAAACGCGGCTCTGCAGAGTTTATTGGAATGATGCAGGAGAGTGGGAATATGGCTGTGGGATACACAGGAATTTCCACAAACTAACTTTCTCAGCAACTTGGCTGATAAAGCCAGCAATAAAGCAGCAATAAACAGCAATAAAAGCAGGCACGGCATTCTTCAGCCCGAGGGCATTTAAAGAAAGGAAACGTCACATCCGTGCAGAAAGGCGGCCGAGGCAGCTGGGACACTATTTAGAAGTGATCTACGAAAGCAAATCATTTAACAGTAGGAAGGCAAAGGCACCTCGTGCTTCACAAGCAGGAAGGCAGGACAGTTCTTTCACGTACCTGGTATACGTCGAAGATAGCAACTGCTCAACTGCAACCCCCAAACCCACCCTGCAGTGATTCAACCGAGCAGCTTCACTCACCAGCAGCTGGGTCACGGGAGGCAAATCCGTCCCCGTGCAGGAGACCCTGCCACGAGCCACGTGTCTATTGGAATTTCACCCAAAACCCGTTTTACGGGAGTTTTGTGGCAGGGCTGGCTCCCGTCACGGGGTGTGCTTAGGACACACTGTGGGAGGGGGAAAAAAAAAAAGGCTCAAACCGAAGAGCACGTAGGATTAGACAATCAAAGTGCTTGGGGGGGATTTTAGAGTATCAGCTGCCAGAAGTAACACCAATATTGTTGACTTAAGGAAAACGGGCACAGAGAGAGTGAAACCCCAAAGGGACCTGGGAATTCTCTAACGGCTGGGAAGTCTGCTGCAGGAAAGCGGAAAGTATTTGTGAAAGAAATTAGAGAAGCTGCAACTGAAATTCCTCTGGTCATGGCTCAGATGGAGGAAAGAAATGCGTTGCCAATCCTGCGTAAAGAAGCATCGCGAGGGTGGGACGGCAAGATAAAATTTAGAGACGGATAATTGCGACACCACATAAACGCTGTCAATTAGGAGAGAGCCTTAAAGGAGTTGGGCTAGTGGGAAAGATGAGCGTGTGGCGTGCTCTGAAAGCAAAAATGGAGAAAATATGAGGCTTTGGGGGCTGACTCTTATCGGTGTGCCCTCATAGTAAAACATGAGTAAAAGCATGAGCCTTTCAGAAAGGGCCTGTGGGTGCCCCCACTTCCAGGTGCTCAGCTGGGGACAAATTCACAGGCCCCGTTTCTCCAAAAAACCCAACAGGCAGCTCTGCCTGAAAACCAGCCATCTGGATCTTCAGAACAGCCGAGCAGCCAAAATCACCCCGGTTTGCGAAAGTCGCCGGTAAAGGCACTTGGGGAGAGTAACGGCACGGAGCAGCACGCAGCACCAAGGCAAGCGAGGATGCTAACAAAAGCTGGAAATCCCTACGAATTCAGCATGCCACCGACTTATTTTGGGGAGAGAGATCAGTGGAGAAAGGGAAGATGCGATGAGCTGGACAGTTTTTCCTGGTTACAGTTGTATCTTCTCTTCTGAAAGGGTGGCTGCTGGCTCCGACGGGCTCTGGCTCCAAGAAACCTATTTTTAGTCTCCATGAGACAAAAATGCCGGTGAAGAAAAAAAAAAAAAAGATTAAAAAGACAATTGCTTCCTGTTCAGGGCTGCTGATGTGGAGAGATCCTGCCAAGACGCCGAGGCCGGGCCAAGACCTCGGCGCAGGTTACAGCTCTCAGGGGCTGCCCCTGGGAGAGCGGAGCAGCCGCCGCTGGGAGACCCAGGGAGGGCGAGCGGGTCCGTCTGGCTCCGTGTGAGACAGAGTCATCTGGGGATGCGAGACAAGAAAAGATGCTCTCAGCTCCCGAGAGCCCTCGTGCTGCGCCAGGAGGTCCATGGCCTGGATTCCCAAGGGAGAAGAAGGGACTTGAGCTTCTGTTCCTTTGGGATTCTTGGTGCCTATAGGCTTCAGGCTGAGCTCAACTCTGCTGAGGTTAAAAGTTTCAAGAGTATCTAAGTGACATGTGACTCTAAGGAGACAATTTATGGAGCGACTTTCACACTGAACCTTGGATTGATTAAAGAATTATCGCCCTGAAAATTCAAATACTTGGTAAGATAGGTCTGATTTACAGCACGAGGGTGGCTGACTTAAGGACCGATTCATTTGTTTATCTTCAAAGTGCTTTGGTGCTTCCACCAACAAACTATATGCAAGAGCTTAAATTAGGAACCAATCCATACTCATCAAAATTAAATCCACAGCATTTTCTTCAATTAGCTAGCTGAAAGTACTTCCTTGTTTTAAGACCCCAGCACTGGCGTTTTAGATGACATGTAAAATTTTTCAAAAGCAAGAAAATTATCATGAGAAATCAGCTTAAAACGCAAGTTTTTCTATTCAGGAACAGAACATACTGCAACCCTTTGCGGGATAGTTTGTGTTTCTTCTGCTGCACCATTAAAAATACATTATGGATCTCAACAGCTAATTACTCTGACAACTAGCTTTACTTCTCCTTGTGTTTTTTTCATATCAGATGGACTCAAAAGGAGGAAGACACGGCAGTTGTTCTCCTAAAATCACAGACTGAAAGGGTAGGAATGAATCCCAATGGATGGATTTACTCTTAGTCACATACGGGATATTTTCAGCTACTCTCTGGCACACTGCGAAAGAGCAGTGGAAAGAGAAAAACCAAGGGCAAAAAAAATAATCCTGGTAGACCATGTAACACACAAAGTGATCATTTAATTTCTACTCAGGGCTTTCATCAGGAAGTGCAAGTCCAATCATGTATTTTCAAAGCATCTTAACAAAATTGGGAATGCATCCTAGCAAAGCTGGGAATACCTCCCGCAACAGATACTGTGAGCTCAGCTGAGCCCAGCCTAAATGTAACCCACCAGCCGCACTGTGCTGGGAAAGGTCTTGCGCATCCCCATGCACTTCTCCTGGTCGATGAAGAGCGAGTTGGCTTTGACGGCCAGGTCATGCTCCAAGACCGACTTGGCACGGACCAGCACCTGCAGGGCGTCCTCGGCGTCTCTCAGCCGCTGCCGAAGGCTCTGGATCGTCTCATCGATTTCGTAGACCTCGTTGACAAGGCTGGAAAACAGCAAGAAACTGCTGTTAACAGTCCCATCACGGGGGTGGTTTCTAGCATGGTGGTGTTGGGCACCTCGAGCACAGGAGTTCCCCCTTCAGCGTGCTCAGACTAACTCAGACCCCCAGTTTCTGGCAGAGGCATGGGGAGCCGAGGGCAGAGTTCCTCCGGACCTCAGCGGGGAGGCATGGTTAAGTTTGCTCTAAGGCTTTGGCAACGCGCAGCCGCATCTCCCGGAGCAGCTCGTGCCACCAAGAAGAGGGATGAGCAGCTGTGGTTTCCTGTTCCCCTTTGGTTTTGTGGGTTTGATGGTTCACCCTCCTGGATTTCCCTCTGCAGGGGTCCTCCCCACACCCACGGGCGCACATGCAGCAAAACCGGGCAGCTGGGAGAGGCTAAAAGTGAACGTGAAACGAGTGGAGGATGGAAAAAACAAGGGCCTGTGAGATGCTGAACAGGCTCAAGGGCTGGGTTTAAATTGCTTTGAAAAGACTTTGCATGGAGCCGTGCCCAGAGGGCTCCCGGGGGGAGGCTCAGGGTGCCTCGCAGAGGGTGCTGCGGGCGCTCAGGGCAGCCTGCTCCTCCACAGCCCCTCGGGCGCGATGCCAAAGAGCTCACTATGTCCTTGAAGGGGTTTAAAAGCCACTGAAATCCAACAGCAGAAAGGCTGATCTCCTTGCCCAGGCTCAGCAGTGCTGCGGCAGCATTGTCCTCCGCTTCCACCCTGCGCTGAAGAGCTGCTGTGGGAGGGGGCTCAGCTC